AGGGATTAAAACATTTACAAATGGTTTAACTCTAAAGTCTGTGTTCCAGCACTGATCACTCTGCCCTCTGTCCTTCTGTTACCTGAAATCTTAGTTAACAGAAGGCTCAGGCAGCATCAGGCAGGAGTGCCTCTGATTGGCTTAGATCAGTGAGCTGATGCTTTAAGTCAATCAGTAGGTTAACATTCTTAAAGAAGGTACATACTTTGGGATCAAATTGTTTATGAATGGTATTGTATCGTTCATAAAGGTGAGCCATCTCTAGGGACCTCCTGACACCATAAACACTGAATTTCAATTAAGTTGTTATGGTGCATGGAATGTTTGTTCAATTGTTGAGGGTCATTAAATAAAGAGAGATTTTAAAGTGAAGTAAAATCTAAGGCCAAAGAAACAGAACTGGAAGCATAACTGCATGAAATACATTTTAAGTGTAGGTATTATGACTTTAAATTTGAAATTCAAATTGCTTTCAATACTCACTTTAGTAAATAACCCCGTTAGACTCCATTCTTCCAATTATTATTTGGCTTATGGACACAGTTGGTTACACTGGCGTCTACTTTGGAATTCCATTGCAGCCGAGGTTAATAAGTTGAAAAAATGCTAACTAGCTATCAATATACAGTATAGCAATTTCAGTTAAAGCAAAAAATGCTAACAGTTACTATATGCATTAAAATGGCTTTGTCACTTTACAGGTTTTGTGTTTAACATAATCTTTTTTGTTCCTCTATTTCCATTTGATTTTATTTTTATTTTTTAATTTACCTTGTTTTTTTTAGTTATACATAAAAGAGTAGCGATTATATATTCTTATTGGAAGTGTGAATTTTGGCAATGTCTGGCAATGGATAATTTCCTTTTCAGTTGCTAAGCCAATTTTCACACAATCCATCATTCAAAATAAGCCCACAAAAGTTCAAACTAGAGAAACCATGAACAGAGGATAGCTTGCTCAGGTACTGAGATTTAAAAAAAAAGTATATAAGAAAAGGCCAGTGGCAATGGCAGAAGTCTAATCATTAGGATACGGAGGGTATAACAAATGGAAAATTCAAAGAATGAAAAAAAATGACAGTGCCACTCTAAGAATCAAGAGGAACCAAATAGAATTCTTAAAGGAACACTAGAGGATCCATGTGCCCCCTATTTTAACCCTGTAGTTGAAAACATTGCCGTTCTGCAGGAATGACAATGTCTTCATTGCAGGGTTAACGTGCCTCTAATGGCTGTCAGTATGATAGCCACTAGAGGCACTTCTATAAAATAACAGAGCAAGACGTTCCTATGGAAAAACATTGGATTGGCTGAGATCATCAATTTTGATGATCTCAGTCAAAGAGACAAAGCTTTAAGGAGAACACCACTATGACAATGGCTCAAACATAAGTAAATTACTTTTTTTTAACCCTGGCAGTGGGATCTGGTCACCTAAATGGTGACTATGGCAGTAGGGATACACATTTTATTCCTAACACTATAGTGTTCATTTAAGCCACTGGTAGAGCAGCTTCTTATTGTAGAAAAGTGGTTCTTACTGAATAAGTATGCAACTAAAAATATAATTTTTTAGTTAACGTTTGCATTACAATAAAATATATATTGCACTTTTTAAAGTGTTGGATTTATATTTTAAAAAAAATGAAATCCTGGAAAGTACAGTTAAATTTTATTTCAAAATGTAAAAATATCTGAAAGGGCACTGTATGCAATATGTTTAGGAGTATTATAAACTGTAACTACATACATATAGTTAATATATTGATTCAGTCTGCGCAGTTTCTATTGATCCGAATTAGCCCAACGCCTACCACATTAATCCATCATTTACAAACCAATGAATGAGAAAAACATTAGTAGCCCATTAGAACAAAATTTAGTTTCCCCTAAACAGAAAGATTTTGTCTAGTGTTCCAGGTCAATGGTATGCTGTGAGATTATACAGTGGTGCTCAAAAGTTTGCATACCCTGGCAGAAAATGTGACATTTTAATATTAATTTTGAAAATATGACTGATGATGCAAAAAATTTATTTTATTGAAGAATAGTGATAATATGAAGCCATTTATTATCACATAGTTGTTTGGCTCCTTTTTAAACAGAAATTACCCAAATGGCCCTGATCAAAAGTTTACATAACCTTGAATGTTTGGCCTTGTTACAGACACACAAGGTGACACACACAGATTAAAATGGCAATTTAAAAGTTAATTTCCCACACCTGTGGCTTTTTAAATTGCAATTAGCGTGTGTGTGTGTGTGTGTAAATAGTCAATGAGTTTGTTAGGTCTCACGTGGATGCACTGAGTAGGCTAGATACTGAGCCATGTGGAGCAGAAAAGAACTCCTGACACCAAGCCAAGGTCAGGTAGACCAAGAAAGATTTCAGCCGCAACTGCCAGAAGAATTGTTCAGGATACAAAGAAAAACCCACAGGTAACATCAGGAGAAATACAGGCTGCTCTGGAAAAAGACGGTGTGGTTGTTTCAACGAGCACAATACGACAATACTTGAACTAAAATGAGCTGTATGGTTGAGTTGCCAGAAAGAAGCCTTTACTGTAACAATGCCACAAAAAAGCCCAATTGCAATATACCCGACAACACCTTGACACGCTTCACAGCTTCTGGCACACTGTAATTTGGAGTGATGAGACTAAAATAGAGCTTTATGGTCACAACCATAAGCGCTACGTTTGGAGATGGGTCAACAAGGACTATAGTGAAAAAAATACCATTCCCCATGTGGAGTATGTTGGGGACTCACTGATGTTTTGGGAGTGTGTGAGCTCTAAAGGCACCGCGAATCTTGTGAAAATTAATGGCAAATTAAATGCAGCATGTAATCAGAAAATACTAGCAGACAATTTGCATTCTTCTACATGAAGGCTGCACATGGGACGCTCTTGGACTTTCCAGCATGACAATTACCCTAAGCACATGGCCAAGTTGGCTTGTGGTTACAGCAGAAAAAGGTGAAGGTTCTGGAGTGGACATCACAGTCTCCTGACCTTAATATCATCGAGCCACTATGGGGAGATCTCAAAAGTGCGGTTCATGCAAGACAACCAAAGACTTTGCATGCAAACACACAATAAGTGGAGCTAATATACACCTTGATGGTAATGGTAAATGATGGATACTGGTAGCAATAAATGGCAGAAAATAGTAAGGAAAGAGCCAATAAGGCACCTGGCTCTAGTGTGTGTATCGCCTTTGGTATTGGAAATCTTGAGGGTATTGGAAATCTGTATAATTTATTGGTATAACATGTATATATAAAATAATAAAGGTGATCAAATGATCACTAAAATCATAAAGGACAAAATAACTGAGTCCAATGAGTCCAAAACGCGTTTTGCCATGTGCAGTCTTCTTCAGTTGGAGAATAGTTTGTTTGTGTAAAGCTCTGTCTTTTATATCTTTATTTAATTGTTCAATTGCCGGCATCTGTGAGATTCCAGGATGTTCTTTCCTGTCCTTTGGAGCGCGTGTTCCATTTCCTGGAATGCACGCCGCATGCGTCACCAACAGGTACATTTCTTTTTCATTATACTCTTGTACACTTAGTATTTGTTAAAGACTTTGCATGACCTGGAGGCATTTGCCAAGAAGAATGTGCAGCTATACCACCTGCAAGAATTAGGGGCCTCATAGACAACTATTACAAAAGACTGCACACTGTTATTGATGCCAAAGGGGGCAATACACAGTATACTAAAGGTATGTAGTCTCTTGAACAAGGGTCATTTCATTTTTTTCTTTGTTGCCATGTTTTGTTTTATAATTGAGCCATTCTGTTATAACCTAATGAATATTAATCCCATATGAAATAAAAGAAATGTGTTTTGCCTGATCAATCATGTTTTCTATTAAAATAGTACATATATTATCAATTCTCCAAGGGTATGCAAACCTTTGAGCACAACTGTGTGTGAGAATGGAGATCTTTGGGGGAATTTGTATATTTTGCACAGACCCCTGAACATAACATACATGTTTCGTTAGCAACATCTGGGGGGTGAGGCTCCAGGGAGATACAGTTGCAAGAAAAAGTATGTGAACCCTTTGGAATGATATGGATTTCTGCGCAAATTGGTCATAGAATGTGATCTGATCATCATCTAAGTCACAACAATAGGCAATCACAGTCTGCTTAAACTAATAACACACAAAGAATGAAATGTTGCCATGTTTTTATTGAACACACCATGTAAACATTAACAGTGCAGGTGGAAAAAGTATGTGAACCCTTGGATTTAATAACTGGTTGAACCTCCTTTGGCAGCAATAACTTCAACCAAACGTTTCCTGTAGTTGCAGATCAGACGTGCACAACGGTCAGGAGTAATTCTTGACCATTCCTCTTTACAGAACTGTTTCAGTTCAGCAATATTCTTGGGATGTCTGGTGTGAATCGCTTTCTTGAGGTCATGCCACAGCATCTCAATCGGGTTGAGGTCAGGACTCTGACTGGGCCACTTCAGAAGGCGTATTTTCTTTTGTTTAAGCCATTCTGTTGTTGATTTACTTCTATGCTTTGGGTCATTGTCCTGTTGCAACACCCATCTTCTGTTGAGCTTCAGCTGGTAGACAGATGGCCTTAAGTTCTCCTGCAAAATGTCTTGATAAACTTGGGAATTCATTTTTCCTTCGATGATAGCAATCCGTCCAGGCCCTGATGCAGCAAAGCAGCCCCAAACCATGATGCTCCCACCACCATACTTCACAGTTGGGATGAGGTTTTGATGTTGGCGTGCTGTGCCTTTTTTTCGCCACACATAGTGTTGTGTGTTTCTTCCAAACAACTCAACTTTGGTTTCATCTGTCCACAGAATATTTTGCCAGTACTGCTGTGGAACATCCAGGTGCTCTTGTGCAAACTGTAAACGTGCAGCAATGTTTTGTTTGGACAGCAGTGGCTTCCTCTGTGGTATCCTCCCATGAAATCCATTCTTGTTTAGTGTTTTACATATTGTAGATTCGCTAACAGGGATGTTAGCATTTGCCAGTGACTTTTGTAAGTCTTTAGCTGACACTCTAGGATTCTTCTTCACCTCATTGAGCAGTCTGCGCTGTGCTCTTGCAGTCATCTTTACAGGACGGCCACTCCTAGGGAGAGTAGCAGCAGTGCTGAACTTTCTCCATTTATAGACAATTTGTCTTACCGTGGACTGATGAACAGCAAGGCTTTTGGGGATACTTTTATAACCCTTTCCAGCTTTATGCAAGTCAACAATTCTTAATCGTAGGTCTTCTGAGAGCTCTTTTGTGCGAGGCACCATTCACATCAGGCAATGCTTCTTGTGAAAAGCAAACCCAGAACTGGTGTGTGTTTTTTATAGGGCAGGGCAGCTGTAACCAACACATCCAATCTCATCTCATTGATTGGACTCCAATTGGCTGACATCTCACTCCAATTAGCTCTTGGAGATGTCATTAGTCTAGGGGTTCACATACTTTTTCCACCTGCACTGTGAATGTTTACATGGTTTGTTCAATAAAAAACATGGCAACATTTCATTATTTGTGTGTTATTAGTTTAAGCAGACTGTGATTGTCTATTGTTGTGACTTAGATGATGAGCAGATCACATTTTATGACCAGTTTGTGCAGAAATCCATATCATTCCAAAGGGTTCACATACTTTTTCTTGCAACTGTATAGTCTTCTGAAGCACTTCCCCACAGCCACCATAATCTTTCTTCAGCTTTTATTATGTTATTCATTCATGTTATGTATGAGAGTATAACATATATGACTGTAGAGGATTTCACAAGACTGTGTGATGCTCCACAGACCAACTCTTACTATGTGTGAAAAGATGCTTGTGCAATAATAGCTAGAACTGTGGGAACCAACAAAACAAATACTTCACCATTTCTCAAGTTTTGCCAAACGTGCAGCTGATCAGAAGACAAAGTAGTCCTTAGTTTGCTTATGGTATATTTTGATCATGTTGGAATTTCATTTAAACTCTGACTTAGTCAGTTTAAGTATTGCATAAAAATGTTATCTTTATAAAATTCTCAAATTGATACAGCTCTGACAGAGATAGTAAAATTGGAAATCTAACATTCAGTTTTGAAATACACTTTCTGTATTTTCATATGTTTATGCTGAATGTAGAAGCAGTTGCACCTATTGCTAATTCACCATTAAAATGCCTAGCAATACCTATTACTAATATATAAAGACATAGAATTTGTTAGGAATGTGCCCAATCCGATATTTTCAGTTTTAAAATTCTAAACCTTTCAATTTTAAGCACTTAGACATAATTTTAAAAACTCTCACAAATGAAAAACATTTGAGATGATTATATATTTCAGCATCATAACATATAGACTTAATGTAGATCCTGGTTTTCTGACTTACTTCCAAAACTTTATATAAACATACATTTTAATTTCTTATGAGTTTTTTTTTATTTGTATTTACTACATCTACCATAATGTTATTTGAGAATTGTACATATACACATCTATGCTGCTGTATATTTTTTATTCC